TTCTCAAAAAGAAAAGGGAGATGACCCAAAGAGATAAAATCATGAATGAAAATGGAATTATTACAACCAATCCCTCAGAGATACAAACAATTATCAGGGAATACTATGAAAAATTATATGCCAACAAATTGGACAACCTGGAAGAAATGGACAAATTCCTGAACACCCACATTCTTCCAAAACTCAATCAGGAGGAAATAGAAAGCTTGAACAGACCCATAACCAGCGAAGAAATTGAATCAGTTATCAAAAATCTCCCAACAAATAAGAGTCCAGGACCAGATGGCTTCCCAGGGGAATTCTACCAGACGTTTAAAGCAGAGATAATACCTATCCTTCTCAAGCTATTCCAAGAAATAGAAAGGGAAGGAAAACTTCCAGACTCATTCTATGAAGCCAGTATTACTTTGATTCCTAAACCAGACAGAGACCCAGTAAAAAAAGAGAACTACAGGCCAATATCCCTGATGAATATGGATGCAAAAATTCTCAATAATTCAACGGCATATAAAAAGAATTATTCACCATGATCAAGTGGGATTCATTCCTGGGATGCAGGGCTGGTTCAACATTCGCAAATCAATCAACGTGATACATCACATTAACAAAAAAAAAGAGAAAAACCATATGATCCTGTCAATCGATGCAGAAAAGGCCTTTGACAAAATCCAGCACCCTTTCTTAATAAAAACCCTTGAGAAAGTCGGGATAGAAGGAACATACTTAAAGATCATAAAAGCCGGGGCGCCTGGGTGGCGCAGTCGGTTAAGCGTCCGACTTCAGCCAGGTCACGATCTCGCAGTCCGCGAGTTCGAGCCCCGCGTCGGGCTCTGGGCTGATGGCTCGGAGCCTGGAGCCTGTTTCCGATTCTGTGTCTCCCTCTCTCTCTGCCCCTCGCCCGTTCATGCTCTGTCTCTCTCTGTCCCAAAAATAAATAAACGTTCAAAAAAAATTAAAAAAAAAAAAAAAAGATCATAAAAGCCATTTATGAAAAGCCCACAGCTAACATCATCCTCAATGGGGAAAAACTGAGAGCTTTTTCCCTGAGATCAGGAACACGACAGGGATGCCCACTCTCACCACTGTTGTTTAACATAGTGCTGGAAGTTCTAGCATCAGCAATCAGACAACAAAAGGAAATCAAAGGCATCAAAATTGGCAAAGATGAAGTCAAGCTTTCGCTTTTTGCAGATGACATGATATTATACATGGAAAATCCGATAGACTCCACCAAAAGTCTGCTAGAACTGATACATGAATTCAGCAAAGTTGCAGGATACAAAATCAATGTACAGAAATCAGTTGCATTCTTATACACTAACAATGAAGCAACAGAAAGACAAATAAAGAAACTGATCCCATTCACAATTGCACCAAGAAGCGTAAAATACCTAGGAATAAATCTAACCAAAGATGTAAAGGATCTGTATGCTGAAAACTAGAGAAAGCTTATGAAGGTAATTGAAGAAGATTTAAAGAAATGGAAAGACATTCCCTGCTCATGGGTTGGAAGAATAAATATTGTCAAAATGTCAATACTACCCAAAGCTATCTACACATTCAATGCAATCCCAATCAAAATTGCACCAGCATTCTTCTCGAAACTAGAACAAGCAATCCTAAAATTCATATGGAACCACAAAAGGCCCCGAATAGCCAAAGTAATTTTGGAGAAGAAGACCAAAGCAGGAGGCATCACAATCCCAGACTTTAGCCTCTACTACAAAGCTGTCATCAAGACAGCATGGTATTGGCACAAAAACAGACACACAGACCAATGGAATAGAATAGAAACCCCAGAACTAGACCCACAAACATATGGCCAACTCATCTTTGACAAAGCAGGAAAGAACATCCAATGGAAAAAAGACAGTCTCTTTAACAAATGGTGCTGGGAGAACTGGACAGCAACATGCAGAAGGTTGAAACTAGACCACTTTCTCACACCATTCACAAAAATAAACTCAAAATCGATAAAGGACCTGAATGTGAGACAGGAAACCATCAAAACCTTAGAGGAGAAAGCAGGAAAAGACCTCTCTGACCTCAGCCGTAGCAATCTCTTACTCGACACATCCCCAAAGGCAAGGGAATTAAAAGCAAAAGTGAATTACTGGGACCTTATGAAGATAAAAAGCTTCTGCACAGCAAAGGAAACAACCAACAAAACGAAAAGGCAACCAACGGAATGGGAAAAGATATTTGCAAATGACATATCGGACAAAGGGCTAGTCTCCAAAATCTATAAAGAGCTCACCAAACTCCACACCCGAAAAGCAAATAACCCAGTGAAGAAATGGGCAGAAAACATGAATAGACACTTCTCTAAAGAAGACATCCGGATGGCCAACAGGCACATGAAAAGATGTTCAGCGTCGCTCCTTATCAGGGAAATACAAATCAAAACCACACTCAAGTATCACCTCACGCCAGTCAGAGTGGCCAAAATGAACAAATCAGGAGACTATAGATGCTGGAGAGGATGTGGAGAAACGGGAACCCTCTTGCACTGTTGGTGGGAATGCAAATTGGTGCAGCCGCTCTGGAAAGCAGTGTGGAGGTTCCTCAGAAAATTAAAAATAGACCTACCCTATGACCCAGCAATAGCACTGCTAGGAATTTATCCAAGGGACACAGGAGTACTGATGCATAGGGGCACTTGTACCCCAATGTTCATAGCAGCACTCTCAACAATAGCCAAATTATGGAAAGAGCCTAAATGGCCATCAACTGATGAATGGATAAAGAAATTGTGGTTTATATACACAATGGAATACTACGTGGCAATGAGAAAAAATGAAATATGGCCTTTTGTAGCAACGTGGATGGAACTGGAGAGTGTGATGCTAAGTGAAATAAGCCATACAGAGAAAGACAGATACCATATGGTTTCACTCTTATGTGGATCCTGAGAAACTTAACAGGAACCCATGGGGGAGGGGAAGGAAAAGAAAAAAAAAAAAAAAAGAGGTTAGAGTGGGAGAGAGCCAAAGCATAAGAGACTGTTGAGAACTGAGAACAAACTAAGGGTTGATGGGGGGTGGGAGGGAGGAGAGGGTGGGTGATGGGTATTGAGGAGGGCACCTTTTGGGATGAGCACTGGGTGTTGTATGGAAACCAATTTGACAATAAATTTCATATATAAATAAAAAAAAACAAAAAACAAACAAACAAAAAAAACAAATAGAATGGCTGAAATAGAAAGTATCCCCACGCTGTAATTGTTCAAAAAAAGCAAAAAACCATCTATATGGGAAGCTGGGGCAAGAACAGAATTGGATTAGCTGACCTTGTAAACCCTTTCCAATTCCAGTTCTGAGACTGTGTAATCTAGGGACTTTTATCCTTAAAAAGCCAGGCATCAGGGAAACCATAACTCACAGATGTAAAACCCCCAAATCACAGTTTGATCAAAAACAAAGAACTAGGGGTGCCTGGGTGGCTAGTTGGTTAAGCGTCCAACTCTTGATTTCAGTTCAAGTCATGATCTCATGGTTCATGGTTTGTGAGATAGAGTCCCACACAGGACTCTGCGTTGACAGCACTGTGCCTGCTTGAGATTCTCTCTCCCTCTGTGTCCCTCCCCTGTATGCATGCTCTCTCATTAAAAAAAACAAAACAAAACAAAACAAAAAAAACTAAACCTAGACAAAAGCATAAGCAGACACTGGTTTGTTCCTCTGTGTGCACACAGACATATACACACATACTCATATAGCCAACCTTCCCATACTTCCTGGGAAGGAAAAATAAGAATAATTAGAAAAATAATGACAGAATCTATTGTCTTTCCCACCAAATCCACTTTATGTTCCCTGATCTGTGTTAACAATGTCACTGGCTACTCAATTATGCACAATAAAGCCTGATGTTTTGAGTCTTCCATCTTCCTTCAATTTCTGCTAAGCCTACCCCAGAAATACCCCTCAGCTGGCCTTTACCTTTATATTGTATTGCCATTGCTCTTGGTAAAACTCTTGCTATTGATCCTTAACTAGTCATCCGCCTATTATAACCCCCCTTCCTGAGGTCATTATTCACACTGCTAATGGTAATCTTAACTGTTAGCAGTGTGAACCTGCTTATCACTCTAACCTGCTTAAACATTTATATTTGCCAGGGGAGAGGGGAAAATGGGCAAAGGGCATTGAGGAGGGCACTTGTTGGGATGAGCACTGGGTGTTGTATGGAAGCGATGAATCACGGGAATCTATCCCCAAAACCAAGAGCACACTGTATACATTGTATGTTAGCCAACTTGACAGTAAATTGTATTTAAAAATTTTTTTAATATTGGCTCCTTAATGCCTACAAATTAAAGTTAAAATTCTTTGGTGTGGCCCGCAAAACCATCTCAATCTGGCTCTCACACTCCCTGCTTTGCTTGCCCATAGTATCTCATCCTTTGGTTTTATTGCAATCCTGGTCATTCTTGAAAGGCCACACACTTCTCTATTCCATGTCTTCAGCTGTTTTCAAAGGCACCCCTCCCCACTCCCATCTATGGACATTGTACTCAATTTTCAAGGCTCAAGCAAATGCTACCTATCTTGTGAAGATATCCTTAATACTTCTACCTCACAACCCCTGCCTCCCTCCCTTGGAATTAAATGCTTCTCTTAGGGCTGATAACACTTTCCTTCAATCTCATTTTTGCACTTAACAATCATGTTTGAAATTTCAGTTTTTGGGGTCCAAGCTTATCTCCACCCACTGTAAATCCTTGAAAGCAGAGAACAGGTTTCATCTATTTCTATAGCTAACCTTGTCAGACCCCTGGTGCCAAGGATCTAACACAATACCTTCTATATAACAAATCTCTGACAAATGCTTATTAAATTGATTTGGAAGCTGAGGACTGTTAGACTTTTACCCAGGGCTCAATACCAGTCTTGAAAATTGTAACTTCTATTAAAATTCTAATAAAAAGCCTAGTAATTGATAAAAAGCCTCTTATCATACTTATCTAACATTTCTAAGACAAAAACTATTATACTTACATTCACTAGGAGAGAGAAATCAGTGACCAGTTGGCTAAGTTCAATTAAGTCCTTAAAAAGAGAGAGAGAAAAAAAAAGTTACTTATTTTTATGCCTCACAGCTACCAAAATGAAAATAATTTTTTACATACCGCTTCTAAGCTTTCCCATGATTCTGCAGCATTTTGATCTCGAGGAATTTCAGGCAACGCATATACCTGAGTCATATTCTGAGGATCATCTTCAGCCTCAGCAGTATGAAATGTTCCTGAATGAACATAGCCTCATGTTTAGGGTTTATGTGCTTTGTTAGAAAGTGGATAGCATAAATCAACTTTATAAAACAATTTCCATGTAAAATGCTAACTGAATTCAGACTAAAAGTAAATTGATTGTTCTATAAAAATAGATTTATCTATGGCAGATTGTTCAAAAGTTAACTTTTTTCTTTAATTGTTCTACAAAATCACCTCGAAAAAAATGGCTACAACAAATGCCATCTACCCAATCTGAATAATTAGAGCTAGATGTGGAAGAAGCACTGAAGAAGAACTATTCTATTTGGCCAACATTCCACACAGAGATACTCAGTAGAAATAGGTTTCACATTTTCAATGCTAAATCATTAACCCTTTCTTTGGGTATTTTAGTAATAAATACCAGATTCATAAGGTGTTAAAAGTAGGAAAGTGATGTGTTTTTTTGCAATGAAAATCATTTTGGGTAACAAATTTGTCATCAAATGAACACCACGTGGATCTTTTCATACATATTGTCTATCCTTCTCCTCATTTTTCTAGGCCATGTCCTAGAAAGACATTGCTTTTGTCTTTTCTGAGTCTTAAAAAGTCACCATGGCACTTGGGTAGCTCAACTGCTTAAGCAACTGACTCTTGGTTTCAGCTGGGTCATGATCTCACATTCGTGAGTTCAAGCCCCACATCAGGCTCCATGCTAACAGCATGGAGATTTCTTTTTCCCTCTCTCTCTGCCCTTCCCCAGCTTTCTCTCTCTCTTTTCCTACTCTCTCTCTCTCTCTCTCAAAAAATAAACATAAAAAGTCATCGACCCACTAAGGGCTTCCTCATTAAAACTGCTATGATGATGAATTAATTTACACTCCAAACTCTACCATCAAGTCTTTATTTCCTTGTATTGGTTTTACCATTCATGCGTTAAACTGATACATACAGAATGTCTACTAAATGCCAATCAGTGTGCTAGGGTACTACAGACACAATGGTAAACCATAAAAACAGTTCCAGGGAGTCAACATAGTATAATGGTTAAGAGCATGGACCTAGTCAAAAAGACCTAGTTTAGAATCCAGGTTTGGCTATTTATTAGCTCTTTGACTCATTTTCCTCATTTTAATTTTTTTTTAATTTATATATTTTTGAGAGACAGAGCATGCATGTGCATGCATGCAGGGGAGGGGCAGAGAGAGAGGGAAAGAGAGAATCCCAAGCAGGCTCCACACTGTCAGCATGGACCCCAACATAGGGCCTGAACCCACAAACCATGAGATCATAACCTGAGCCTAAATCAAGAGTCGGACGCTTAACTGATTGAGCCACCCAGGAGCCCCTCCTCATTTTTAAAATGAGGTGAATGAAAGGGGTGCCTGGCTGGCTCAGTTCAAGAGCATGCGACTCTTCATCTTGGAGTTGTGAGTTTGAGCCCCACGCTGGGTATAGAGGTTACTTAAATGAATAAATAAAAACTTCAAAACATTAAACGATAAAAATAAAAATAAGGTGATAGATATTTACTTTGCACTGCGCCTGGCTTAAATATTCAGTACAGATGGGTTAATAAATAGTTACTACTAAAATAAATAGCCATTGCTACTGCTGCTATTATTAATGGAGCTTACCATATTATGTACAATACAGACATGTTAACAGGCAAGTTCAGTATAGTCTGATAAGACCTATGGTATGAGTAAATATGGAATGCTATGTGAGCACAAAAGAGAGGTACTTAACCTAGACTTAGGGAGGGGAGACTAGTTGGAGGTTTTGAAGCTGAAGGCTGAGGATGAACAGAAATGACATAGGTGAACCCAGGCAAAGGTGGAGGGAGAAGCAGAGACTATTCAGGTCAGGGAGAATAATATGTGCATAGGTTTGGGAACTGAAAAGAATTCAACTGAAGGGCAGACTATTAAAGAGAAAAGCAAAGGATGAGGAAAAAAATCTAAGGTGACATTATTCATGGCATTATAAATTATGTTAAAGAATTTTGTTTATCTCATAAGATCAATATGGAACTATTAAAAGGAGTTGGAGACTACTGGGAAGCTGGAGGATGCCATAATCAGATTTCAGATTTAGAAAGCGAACCATAGCTACAGGGTGAAGAATAGATTAAGGATGAAGTTGAAAGGTAAAAAAAATTAGAGAGCAGAAAAACCAATTGGGAGACTTTGCAGTAAGTCCAGTGCAAAATGATGATGCTCTAGGACAATGGCAGTGGAAATGGAAAGAAGAGATCTGAAGGTCTAATTTCCTTTTGTCCCCCTTACTTCAAGCTCAAAATACCTACCACTTTAATGTTATCTGACCACCTACTGTGTTGGGTACCAGAAATAAAAAAGTAATACAAAGTAGATGCTCTTAAGGAACATATTCTAGAAGAGTTACACATACAAAGAGATAATCCTAAAACAATAAAAGAGTACAATGGCATTTAGATAGAGGGATATAGATACATACAGTATTTTGAGAGTTCCAAGTCTGGGATGGCATCTGACCCAGCTTGGTGTGGGTGTGCAGTTTATGAAATAGCTTCCTAAAAAAGGTGATCTTACAAGACAAAGAAAAAAGGTCTTCAAAAGAACAAACAATATAGCTTAACATAAAAATCAGCAGGTTGGTCTTGCCAAAGGATAAAGCAGAAGGCACAGAGTTACAAACACAGAACATTAAGTAGATGTTTAGGAGGGGGCTTGCAGGCCAGTTAAAGGCTTTGGACTTTATCTGACAGACAGTGGAGAGCTACTGAAGTGTTATAAGCAAGGACATGACATAGTGACACGTGATACCTGATCCACTCCTAAAAGTCATTGTAACTCTTTAAATTCACCTTCTCGATTTCTTTTTTCATCTTAGTCAATAATTGATGGCATGTTATAAAACAGCATTACTATTTTACTTTTGAAACTTATGAATGTTTTACCTCTTGAGGAAAATAATCTGAATTGTTTAGGAAGGGCATAGTAGTTGATTAAAAAATATTTTGTAGGCTTATCAGAATTGACAGTGTTCTTTAAAAAAAATTTTTTTTAAATGTTTGTTTATTTTTGAGACAGAGACAGAGTGTGAACAGGGGAGGGGCAGAGACAGAGGGAGACACAGAATCCGAAACAGGCTCCAGGCTCCAAGCTGTCAGCACAGAGCCTGACGCGGGGCTCGAACCCATGAACTGTGAGATCATGACCTGAGCCGAAGTCGGACACTTAACTGACTGAGCCACCCAAGCGCCCCACAGTGTTCTTTTAATTTTGAATTTTAACTTCTCTGAATACATTTCCTTATCTTACAGGAAGAGCAAAAACATCAGATACGGAGTAGATTTTACATTACAACATTATGACAAGTATCCAATATTTTAAAAGCTCTCTAGGGGCGCCTGGGTGGCGCAGTCAGTTAAGCGTCCGACTTCAGCCAGGTCACGATCTCGCGGTCCGTGAGTTCGAGCCCCGCGTCGGGCTCTGGGCTGATGGCTCAGAGCCTGGAGCCTGTTTCCGATTCTGTGTCTCCCTCTCTCTCTGCCCCTCCCCCGTTCATGCTCTGTCTCTCTCTGTCCCAAAAATAAATAAACGTTGAAAAAAAAATTAAAAAAAAAAAAGCTCTCTGATTTTTACAAACGTTTAAAAGAGTTACTTACCCTATGTCCTAACATAGCACATAAAGACACTTTCATTTTCATGTCAATCAAGATAAATGAATTACTCTAAGACCGCTCTTCCACTTAATATTTCTATTGTAATAAGAACTCCACTTCTTTAATAAGATGATGAATAATGATAACTTTGTTATCATTAACAGACCAAATGTAAAGCAGAACTTTATAAATAGAACACCCACTCTATGGATTTTTATAAGCCATAACCCTTATTCTATTACAGAGGATTTAAATGAAACTGCCAGGGTATACAACAAAACGAGGGGAGATTGTCATACATAAATTCTTGACCTAAAAATTGAAGGGGTGGGAAATGTTTGGTATTTTAAGCAAACATAAAAGATTCCCCTTTGTAAAAAATAAGAAATGTTTAAGTCACTTACGTCTCACTTGAAACCAAACTGCGTATGCATCTTAGTTCAAATGGAGTCTGAGAACAAAGAAATCTGTTCTATTCCGGGGAAAATCCTGCTGTAAACTTACAACTCTGAACATCACTAATCAATGTGAGGCATAACTAACAATTAAGAAAGAAACCCTTTAATATCTACAACTTCTGTAATTCATTTATTCCAGCTTATATTAGAAATCAGTACCTCAGTGAATATTTATTGACTTTGAACTTTCATAAATTACTACAGACATGATGAGGGAAAACACTGAGACAGATTATAGCTGCAGGAAAGAAGGATGAAGAATTTATCCTGTCCACAGAAGTGAAAATTGCTATTGTTTTATATGATGAAATAATCTAAGATAGTTCCATCCACATGACAACTCCAAGTGTAAAGGGCAGGTAGAATACATACACGTCGCACCACTGTTTTTCAAACTCCAGTTTTAAGACCGTATTATTTACTACAAAACCTTATTATTTACTACATTATTTATTATTTGTAGTAAAAATATTAACATATTTTTAGTTGTTAATAACACAGACATAAGATTTTTCCCTTCTCTTTATACGTCCAAACATTCTTTGTCTCTCTCCATATTTCATTGAAAGGCAATGATTCTACTAAGAATTACAACACAACATATAAAAAGTTTCCACTAAACTTCACTATGTTTGGGAAAGTTTCATTATAAATCTAAATTAATTTAAAAGCATTTCCTGAATTTTTCATTTTCTGACAGATTAAAAATAGTGAAATTAATCTACTGATCATCTATATCAACTTATCTATCAAAATAAAATGACTTCTAAGTCACGGCTTAACTTAGTGGTAAAGGAGGATTTTTAAGAAAATTAAAGCCAATAGAAAATATATCTTCTGAATAATATACAAAACTATCCACGTGTTTCGCAAAACTGTTCACCACATGTATATATACCTGTGATAAAATCTGATATTTCATCAAATTCAATATGCAGTCTGAAGTTCCCAGCAGTTTTAAGATTGGATTCTTTTCTTTTGTGAATATTTGTTTAAAATGTAATAAGATTCTGTTCCTATTGCACTGGTGAGCTGCATGTGCCGGATGGGGAGTAAGAAAGACAATGATTGAGAGAAGCACTGATTCACTCTGTATGACCTGATACACCTTTCTAAATACAAATCAAATTTGTAGGCTCATCACTTCTCTTGGTGGGAAGCAATGCTAAAAATGAAACTAGACACACAAGTGAAACAGAAGGGAGCTTCTCAGATCAAGCAAGATTGGCAGAGAAGATTTGCTTTAGGAACTCTCAGAATCTGGACAAAAGAAACAGCAAAATCATCACAGCTTCCTCCTAAACTTAATAAGCTTCTTTTACTCTCCAGAGAACATAAAACATCCTATTCTACTTGTTATTTCTATCTGTAAATGAAAAAACTATTTTTGTATTTCGATCTCACTCATGGAAATGTGGCAACATTGCTCCTGAATCTCTGCTGATATTTCCAACCAATTTATTTAGAATCAGATTGAATTTTTAAAGGAAGAAGTATTTTAAGGCACTTAACTTCTATGCAAATCACATTTTTCTGTATACGCTGTCACTACTATAATGAGTATCTAAAGCAAAAACAAAGAAAAACCAGAAAGCACAGATAAAAACATGCAGGATGACAGAAAAGAGTCCACAGCCAGAAGACCACACGTGGAGTGAACCGAGTTCCTACACCACTATTAAGGTCTTATGTAAATTAGTTCCTTTGTTTTCATTATTCTCCACCTTTCCCATTCTCTCAATTATTTGTTAATAATATTTCTGGATTTAAGGCAACCTAGTACAAACTCTCACAGTTGGTGAAATACTCAGGCACTTGGTGAGAGAGTTCATTTAACTGCTTAATGTTGGCAATGGATTCAAAGTCAAAGCGCAATCTGACCATTTGGAATTTGACATTCTACTATTGTTTTAGGCACAAATTAGGTATTTTTTTTAATATAAATGGGTTGTCTCAATTTTTTTTTTTTTTTTTTTATAAATGCTAGAGGTTTAATTGGGTAGTTTCTCCTGGTGGCAAGTGATTAGGTCTTTAGCTAATTTGATGTTCCATGAAATGAGAAGTTTGAGAATCATTACAGATGGAAAATCCTCTGTCTCTGCCCCAATCTTTTTCATTTTCTCTGTACACATGTTTCCTCAAATTTTGCCAATATCTAATATATAGTTTTAACACCAGTTTCATACAAAGATATTTAATTGCCAGCAAACTGGGTAAACTGCGTTTTTCTAATAACCACCCAGTTTCTCTGATGATATTTAAATCCAAGTCTGTCGAGCCCAAACAGTCCTGACAGAAACCCAAATAATGCAATAAAAAAATGCAAATGAAAGCAAGTATTAGAATAGTATCATATTGTGAGAAACTGTCAGAACACAAAATTTTTGTTTCCTAGGTAATTCGTAGTGATGGGCAACTCAAAACTAAATAGCAAAAGAAACTGATGTCAGCAACTCTTTCCAGAAAATCCAACATATCTTCACTGTTGTTACCGCCATCACAACTGTCACAATGTCTAAGTGGGTAAGCTAGCTGCTTAATCACATGGAAGCCCAATTTCTCTAAGGCAAATAAAGTATCAGTTCACACTAAATGATATGAACAGCACTTAGCCTCATCAATACAGTGGTGATAAATATATATGGACAGAATAATGTAAACAGTAACTGGTTAAAAACTATCAAAAAGCACTCTTCCCAAATACTCTTCAAGCAAGGGGCTGAGTGTTAACACTTCCTTCTCTCCAAAACAACACTTTAGGTACTGGTTATCACAGAGCGTAGTGAGTATGGCACATCCGAAATTATAAAATTGTCTCCAAAAACATATTTATTTATTCACATTTATGAAACATTTATTAATGGCCCGCTATGTGCCAAGCACTACTATATGCTACGTACTGAGGATACAATAAAAGTAAGATTACCAAGAAAATCTGGATGATGGCCTAAATGTTTCCTCCAATTTCTAAATTTGGACTTCCCTATAAATTATTGGGTCATTAGTACTGAAAATATAACATTAAAAATAATCTAATTTTGGAGACAGGGAATGGTACAGGAGCCTCCTACATAAATGAAAAGAGGAAAACTCAGCAGGTATAATATCCTTCAGATTCTATTCTGATTTGTAATTTATTTATATTCCACTTTTTCCACTAAGATTTAAGGCAACTTAGAACATATGTAAAATGTAACAAGATAGCATAATTAAAGGGAAACAAAGAAGGAAAAATGAAGGAAGCAATTATAAAACAAAGCCAGGAGCTAAAAAATTGGCTTTTGGTAGTTAAAAAAAATTCAGATTTAAGCTTTCCAGTAAATAACTCAAGTAGAGAAACCTTATCAGTTATGCCATCCAGTACCCATAGGATTAAAAAAAAAAAGACCAACTGCTTTCAAGTACTACTACATATTAAACCAAGATTTTTTTTTTTTTTTAGTGGTCTTTATAAAGGTACTACTATCATGCAATTAACAATTATCAATTACATCCTTAAAAGAGATATAATGACAAGTTTTACCGGACTGTTTCTTTTTTTTTTTTCAACGTTTATTTTATTTTTGGGACAGAGAGAGACAGAGCATGAACGGGGGAGGGGCAGAGAGAGAGGGAGACACAGAATCGGAAACAGGCTCCAGGCTCCCAGCCATCAACCCAGAGCCTGACGCGGGGCTCGAACTCACGGACCGCGAGATTGTGACCTGGCTGAAGTCGGACGCTTAACCGACTGCGCCACCCAGGCGCCCCTGGACTGTTTCTTAAAGTATCACCTCATAAAAGCTGATAGCATGACCCCCAATGCAGATTTTCTTTAATGTCATTAAACTCAGAAAACTGAGCTGGGAGATAGATCTAACATCCACTATGAAAGAAAGTCAGAACGCCAAAGAAAGAGGTGTGCCTGATCAGGCTACTCCTGCACCAGGAGATAAAAGGGGCATACTCTGCAATCCAGGATGACATTCTCCTTAGGAAATATTATAACATTTGTTTTCATTATATAGACAAATAGGTACTTGAAGCCTCGAAGTTCCACTCTATACAGCACAGTCTTAAAATCTTTATCCTGCAAAACTTCTAGGGTATGCATTTCTAGGCACATTCAGGGTTCAACAATTCAGTAGACTGAAATAGAAGGTGATCCCTGGAGACTCACATATCTGCAACAGCTATACAAGATGGTGAACTTTAACTAAATGCATTACTATGATCAAAAATAAGACTTAGTACATTACCACCAACAGTCATGGATCTGGTCAAAGAAGGTTGTAATAAAGTTTCTTCATCATTAAATTGTTTCTTAAGTTCTTCTACAGATTCCAGATGGAGTTGAAGAAATTCTGCTGTTGCTGTTGATGCTTCTTCTTTAACAGGGTCTATCATTCTCTTTAGAAGTACTAGGTCATCCTTTCGGACTTTCAAACAAAGTTTCTCCATTTCTCGGATATTGGAACGGAGTTGCTACAAAAGAAAAAAAAATCATTAAAGCCACCATCTATTAATATGAAATATCTTTATTGTCAAAAGTAATCTGTGATAATGCTTGTAAATGGAAATAATACAAGTATTCTCTACGGCAGAAAGTATACCTTTTTTAAAATTTTTTGTATCTCTAGCCAAATTGAACTTCATGAGAACTCACATCCAGGTACTTTGAGTTTGTTTAGCATTCTTTTCCTTCATTAAATGTTATTATTATAAATAACACATGCTCTTCATAATAAATCAAACACTGTAGAACATATCTAGACAAAGTTGATGCCCGCCTTCACTGATCCCACCACCTCTCTTTACCTAGTCCTTCCACACATTTCCCACTGCTCATGCAAACATTAACATACATAGCCTTTCTTTTCACACACGCAAAAAAAGGATTACACTGTGCATAATAATCCATAATTTGTTATTCCTCACCCCAATAATATAACAATACCACCATGGATATCCTTCCATGGGTGTACCATATTCCACAGTATAGATGGAAAATAATGTATTCAATGACTCCTCCAAGTGATCAATAGTCATTCATGTTGTTTCCAAAACAGAAGTCCTTGAATATAATCCTAATATACCATAACAGTATATATCACTATTATAGTATATCCTATTATACTATACTTTGTAGGAATGATTTCCTGGGTGCCTGGGTAGCTCAGTTGGTTAAGCATCCGACTTCGGCTCAGATCATGATCTCACAGTTCTTGAGTTTGAGTCCTGCTCTGGGCTCTGTGCTGACAGCTCAGAGCCTGGAGTCTGCTTCAGATTCTGTGTCTCCCTCTCTCTGCTCCTCCCCCACTCGTGCTCTGTCGCTGTCTCTCAAAAATAAATGTTAAAAAAATTTTTAAAAAAATGATTCCCAAAAGTGAGAGTACTTAAAGGATAATGTGCATTCTTATTTCAATAACTATTAACAGTGTTTTCCTACCAGTAACAAATTATACTACCACCAAAGTATGAATGCCCATTTCCCTACATACTGCCAGTTGTACATGTTATCTCACTGTTGTTTTAATTCGCATTTCTGAGTGTTGCCAGATTTTTATCCAATGATTTCCCTCTCTTTTTAAAACCATCTACTGACATAATCATGGGGCACCTGGGTGGCTCAGTCGGTTAAGCATCTGGCTGTTGATTTTGTCTCAGGTCATGATCTCACGGTTATGAGACTGAACCCCACATCTGGCTCTGTGCTGTGAGTGTGTGGAGCCTGCTTAAGATTCTCTCTCTCTCCCTATGACCCTCTCACATGCTCGCTCTCAAAAAAAAAAAATCATCTACTGACATAATCATAAATTTTCCTCTAAGGTGCTTATATAACGAGCTACAGGCAGGTTTCATGGTATAGAGCCATCTTTATACTTCTGAGATAAACTCTTTCTAATCACATATATAATTTTTTTGATTCAATTTGCTAATAATTTATTTGGACTTTTAACACATCTGTTTGTTGTGCATGCATGTGCACACATGAACGGTGTGTCTATATTATCTCTCTCAGACTTAAGGTCACTTTAACAAATTTAAGGTTGTGCTAGTTTCACAGAATGAACTGTGGAGCTTTCCATTTTTTCCAATAGTCTATACTCCTGAAAAACATAAAATCCAACTATTCTTTGACAATTAAACACAACTAACTTGCAAGAATGATCTGAGTATGATGCTTTTAAAAATTATAGATCTCTATGGGTATTGAGGAGGGCACCTTTTGGGATGAGCACTGGGTGTTGTATGGAAACCAATTTGACAATAAATTTCATATATAAATAAAAAAAATTATAGATCTCTATATTATATTATTTATAATATATATTAATATAACAATTTTCATATAACATTTTAAATTCTTCTCCCCTGTTGTACTTCCACAGATACTAATGCAAATTCTGTATAATAGGACAAAATGTACTAATTTCTTTAATTTCTCAAGTACTTACTCTGAGTGAAGTGTTACATTCCATATTACTACATTCCACATTATTACATTATAGGAAAATCAGAACAAAGATAACTTGTTTAGGATTTACTTAATTATCTAGCAGCAAAGTGCAGTTAAAACCGAGGTTTTTTTAATTAAGTTTTTATTTTAATGCCAGCATAGTCAATACAGTGTTAGTTTCAGGTAAAGAATACAGTGATTCAACAATTCCATATTACACCCAGCACTCATCACAACAACTGCTCTCTTTAATCCCCATCACCTTTTTCACCCATCCTCCCAACCCACCTCCCCTCTGGTAACTATCAGTTTGTTCTCTATAGTTAATAGTCTGTTTCTTGGTTTCTCTTTCTCTCTTTTTCCTTTGACCATTTGTTTTGTTTCTTAAATTCCACATGAGTGAGATTATATGGTATTTGTCTTTCTCTAACTTATTTCACTCATCATTAATCTAACTCCATCCATGTTGCTGCAAATGACAAGATTTCATTCTTTTTTTATGGGTGAATAATATTCCTCTGTGTGTGTGTGTGTGTGTGTGTGTGTGTGTGTGTGTGTATCACATCTTCTTTATTCATCTATCCATGGATACCTGGGTTGGTTCCATAATTTGGCTATTGTAAATAATACTGGTATAAACACAGGTAAATGTATCCCTTTGAAATAGTGGATTTTAAAATTTTTTGTCCTAATGTTTGTTTATTTTTAGGAGAGAACAAGCATGAGTGGGGGAGGGGCAGAGAGAGGGAGGCAAAGGATCCAAAGTGGGCTCTGCACTGACAGAGAGCCCGATGTGGGACACAAACTCATGAACCATGAGATCGTGACCTGAGCCAAAGTTGGACGCTCGATGGACTGAGCCACCCAGGTGCCCCTGAATTTGCATTTTTGTATTTTGGGGTAAATACCCAGTTTGCATTCCCACCAACAGTGCACAAGGCTTCCCTTTCCTCTGCATCCTCATCAACACTTGTTGTTTCTTGTGTTTTGATTTTAGTCATTCTGACAAGTATGAGGTGATATCTCACTGTTGTTTTGATTTCCATTTCCCTGAGGATGAGTGACATTCAGCATCTTTTCATGTGTCTGTTAGCCATCTGGAGATCTTCTTTAGACAAATGTCTGTTCATGTCTTCTGCCCATTTTTTAATTGGATCATTTGTTTTTTGGGGTGTTAAGTTGTATCAGTTCTTTATATTTTGGATATGTCATTTGCAAATACCTTCTTGTATTCAGTAGGTTGCCTTTTAGTTTTGATGACTGTTTCTTTTGCTGTGCAGAAGCTTTTTATTTTGATGTAGTCCCAACAGTTCATGTCTTTTATTTCCCTTGCCTCCGGAGACATATCTAGAAAAATGTTGCTCTGGCCAATGTCTGAAAAATTACTGCCTGTGCTCTCTTCTAGGATTCAATGAAAACCCCGGTATTCTTAAAAGTCCAGCAATCTTTCCATTAAACTATAACCACAATTCCTATCTATATGGTACCTTAATATAATCTAAACTATCCATTTTATTCTAGTAAAATGAAAAACAATTCTGAAGGGGCGCTGGGGTGGCTCAGTTGGTTGAGTGTCTGACTCTTGATTTCATCTTAGGTCATGATCCCAGGGTCATGGGATCCAGCCCTGTGTAAAGCTCCTCTCTGAATGTGGAACATGCTTAAGGTTCTCTCTCTTCCTCCCTCCCTCCCTCTCGCTCCCTCCCTCCCCCCTTATGCTCTTCCTCTCTAAAATACATTAAATTTTTTAACAAGTTAAAAAAAAGCAGGGGCACTTGGGTGGCTCAGTCGGTTAAGTATCTGACTTCAGCTCAGGTCATGATCTCGCAGTTCGTGGGTTCAAGCCCAGCGTCGGGCTATGTGCTAACAGCTCAGAGCCTGGAGCCTGGTTCCAATTCTGTGTCTCCCTTTCTCTCTGCCCCCCTCTCACTCCAGCTCTGTCTCTCTCTCAAAAATAAATAAACGTTAAAAAAAATTTTTTTTAATTCAAAAAAAATCCAGAAAAAAATAGTTTAGCTGCAACCTAATGTATCTTGTAAGATTTTCTGGGTGGATCAAAAAGTTGTGTCTCTATCCTGTCATGATTCTATACTTCCTTTAACTTTATGTCACTCTTACCATCCCAATGTGAACTGCAAAACCTAAGGATAACTGAACTATAAATTAAAAATATGTGACCTGCAATCATTAACATGGAGAAATCATAGAACATACAGGCCTATGTTATCATCTAGTACAACCTTATGATTTTACAAGAGAGAAACTGGACTCCAGATGAGCACAGTGGCAGAATTAGGTCTAGAGCAAGTCCTGGAACAATATTATTGCTAACACACCACCATCTCTTGGCAATACAATTCTTTTTTTTTTTTTTTTAAATTTTAGAGAGCACAAGCAGGGGAGAGGGGCAGAGAGAGGGAGAGAGAATCGTAAGCAGGCTCCACACTGAGCACAGAGCCCAATGCAGGGCTCGATCCCACAACCCTGGGGATCATGACCCGAGCCAAAATCAAGAATGGTATGTGCAACCAACTGAGCCACCCAGACGCCAACGGCTGTATAATTCTCTTCCGAACTACAGTTGTAAAGCTTGGTTACATACTTGCCACATAGTCCATAAAAATATTTTAGGCAATATTATCTTGGAGAAGCATTAAAAAGTTTCTGCAGCTAATGACTATTTGCCTATGACATAGTCTTACTCTCTTACAGAATTTGTGCATCTGTTTATGCCCCAGTCAAATTATAGTGTCCAGAATTCTATTACTATGGGTGGAGGAGAAAATGTTAAGAGAAAGAAAGAAAATATCCATTGAACTCTATTTCTGATACTATACTAACAAAAACACAATGGCTGAATTTTTATCAACACTTACTATAAGGTGTCTGTTGTACTAAGTATTTATCTTCTTCATCTTGTTTTACCTTCACAACTTACTTCTGAAACAGGTATTACTATCATTCTCATTTTAAAGAAGAGGAAATTAAAGCAAGAAAAAATTTTGAAAGCCCAGGATTACACTTC